GAAGCACTGATCCATTCACAGCTCTTTGTTTGTTGGCAAGGTCAGAGACACAAACAAACAATGCTTTTAACATAGTGTTTTCAACTTACATATTTGACACATACATGATTACATTGTGCATGTTCATTTATACAGTAATTATTATTCAACATGTCGTCCCCTGGCATTTGAACTCACAACCTCTTGGTTCACGGCATAATGATCTTCCTGCTACGCCACCATGTCTGTGTCCGTTATCAGTTAATCTGACTATTCGCTCATCATTGATTTGATTTACTTATTTCAGCAATTTTAGGGCTTTTTGAATAGTTGTCTAATGTTGGTGGGGTAAATAACCCTGTTTTAATGTAACTCCTGAATCACTATGTTCAATAAAAGTGTGTACTTTAGTGTACTTTAACAGAGCTGAGATTAACATTTAGGGTAAAATAAAAGTAAGAATAGCTGTGTTTATGTCAAAGCAACTTTATCTCCCATCCAGGCCCATCCTACACTACGCTACAGTATGTGTGTGTACTGAAGATAAGAGAGGGAAAACAAAGACTTTTGGTAAGCCTGATGGTTTCAGTTGCTCACTAACAGTAAGCTCTATCAGGGTTTCCCAAACAGAGGGTAAGACTGCCTAAGGCCTTCGTTCATGTCCAACAGCATGTCACAACGCTCGCCAATAAATTTACCTGAGTCACCTCTCGAAATCTACATTTATTGATAGTATTTCTAAATTATATAATTTCACTTTGATTAGAAAAAACATGTCCAAATACATCAGTCTGATATAATCGAATATAGTAAAAAAAAAAAAAAAAAAGCTAATTAATTTGTAAAATGTTGGTTATGATTTACATTACTAGAGCATTTTAGTCACAAGGGGGTCCCTGCCCTGGCCTGAAGCCCCTCTAGTTCACTGCTTGGAGGTTATCGGACAAGCCAAACTACCAGATCACATGGACGTAAAACCAAGACATTTATCTCTGCTAAGGACTGAAAATACATGCATTTTTACTGTTTTGAGAAGAAAAACAGATGTGAAAGTTGATTCTGAGTTCAGATAAAGCACTTACAACAGTTTGTCTGAAACCTATAGTCCTTACTCCTTGCTACATGGTGTGTCTGAATAGCATGGATTTGGGGAACACTAAGTAGATAATAGTAATGGGCACATTAGATACTGTGTGGGGCACCAGGCCAATGGAGGGATTGTGATGTTTTTACCCATAAATGCAGGGTTATGTAAGTCTGCCCTCCTTTCTATCCAAACACTGACCAACATCAACCTTCCACTCACAGAGGAAATCAAAGAAATTCTACTTACTTTCGGTTTTGGCCCACCAGCTTCAAACAGCTGTAAATATTATATATTTTTGTTATTGAAAATATATTTCACAGTGATTTACATTTACATTTACGTCATTTAGCAGACGCTCTTATCCAGAGCGACTTACAAATAGGTGCATTCACCTTATAGCCAGTGGGATAACCACTTTACAATGTTTTATTATTATTATTATTATTAATTTTTTTTTGGGGGGGGGGGGGGGGGGGGGGGGTAGAAGGATTACTTTATCCTATCCCAGGTATTCCTTAAAGAGGTGGGGTTTCAAATGTCTCCAGAAGGTGGTGAGTGACTCCGCTGTACTGGCGTCGTGAGGGAGCTTGTTCCACCATTGGGGTGCCAGAGCAGCGAACAGTTTTGACTGGGCTGAGCGGGAACTATGCTTCCGCAGAGGTAGGGGAGCCAGCAGGCCAGAGGTGGATGAACGCAATGCCCTCGTTTGGGTGTAGGGACTGATCAGAGCCTGAAGGTACGGAGGTGCGGTTCCCCTCACAGCTCCGTAGGCAAGCACCATGGTCTTGTAGCAGATGCGAGCTTCAACTGGAAGCCAGTGGAGTGTGCGGAGGAGCGGGGTGACGTGAGAGAACTTGGGAAGGTTGAACACCAGACGGGCTGCGGCATTCTGGATGAGTTGTAGGGGTTTAATGGCACAGGCAGGGAGCCCAGCCAACAGCGAGTTGCAGTAATCCAGACGGGAGATGACAAGTGCCTGGATTAGGACCTGTGCCGCTTCCTGTGTAGATGGTACAATGACTCCCTACACTATTAAGTGGTTGTTTTCTCACATAAACTGAAATTGAGCGAACAGTGTAGAATTTTAGCAACCAGGAAATGACAGAGCGATTCCTACATTGGCCTGAATTCCACTAAATAACACAGACACAAAGTCAAAACAGCTTTCCCATTTTGACAACAAATGACAGCCCGGCGGGAGAAATCAATAGGCGAATATCACAGCCAATCACAACACTCGCGGGTAAGTAATACTGTGAAACATTATAATTCTACTATTACTGCAGATATATTATGGACATTTTCTAAAATTACTTAAAATAGCTTGTTCCCTCAACTCTCAGCTAATCTATAACAATGTGATGAAACGTTCATGTGATTACACTGTATGATCAAGTGCACAGTGCATCTAACATAATGTACACCTGTTAGCCATGCATCCTGTGGCAGATGTATGTTATGGAGATGGGAACTCTGAGTCAAAATGAGTAAACTTATCAAATAAGTCTCATAACCTACCCATAATATTAGATGATATGTCCAGTCCAATTAAAAGAGATAAGGATTTTTTTATTCGTACTTTCTGGATATCCAAGAGGTTGTTTTAGTGAGGAGACCTCAGTTGAGTAGACCTGAAAAGGTCCAGGTAGACCAGTTACAGTTGGTATTTCCACTGGATGAGCAGGACAAGTTCCACACTGGTGAGGGTTCCAGGTAGAGGTAGCCAGAGTGGGTTGTCCAGAGGTTTTGAAGTTCAGTCTCTGGTATAGGTGTACTCCAGAGGGAATATCCCTTGTCCAGACCAGGCTGGGGTAACAGAGGGACACTAGTGTAGTCCCTGATAAACGTGAGAGGATGCCCTTTCTCTCTCTCTCAACCCTCCTCCTTTTACTCAATCACTGTGTATGGCAGTGACTGTCACACATTGTGTGCTGTGTGAAAAAAACATTTTCAGACACACACTCCACTGTCCCCTCAAGAGTCAGGTCTTCCCTGGGTCCTAGAGCACACCATTCACAATACTGGCACCAGCTGTGTGGTAACAATAATAGAATAATAATAACTGCAACTGGCATGTACAGTACATGTTAACGGCACCAGCTGTGTGGTAACAATAATAGAATAATAATAACTGCAACTGGCATGTACAGTACATGTTAACATGGCCTTTTCCAACTATGTGTTTTTGTATTATTTAGAGACAAATATTTTATTTTTTACCAAATATCACATTACTCAGAGTGAAGGTTAATTAAAACAATTTGGTATAATATTTTCCTGAACTATCATCTATTCATTTAGTAATTGACCCAGCTGTGGTGATGACAATTCTATCAATCTTTGGATGACAATGTTCAAAATTGAGTGTTAGGAAGAAACTGTAATGGCAACTGTGTGTGTTGGTGATGCTGTTTAATTGAAATGCTGTAAGTGTTGAATGGGGTCACCAGATCCAACTGTGCATATACAGTGTATTAAAAACATGTTGGGCAACAACCACTAAACAGTGTCAACCAACAGTGACATCAAAAGCGCTGAGGTATAACTAGTTATTTTGCAGAAAACACTGGGAGCAGGGCACAATAATAAAACTAAGAAAAATCAAGATGAAAACCTGCAGAGAGAGAGAGATAGGCAACAGACAGAGGTCTGACTGCTAGCTTGAGGGTCATTTTGTTTATTGAGCCTGTATCATGAGTTCAAGTAAATAGATCACATGCAAAAAGGCTGAGGTGGTTACATTCAACAGGGTCTGAGACAGTGCTCACTAGTGGCACCTCCTGGTGGGGAGGCAGAAGGACATTCTCTTAACAGGCTGCTGTGTGCAATAAATAGGCCCCGTATTCATAGTGTCTCAGGGTAGGAGAACTGATCTAGAATCACTTATTCTTTACGATATAAAAGGCTAAAATGATCCTAGATCAGCACTCCTACTCCGAGACGCTTTGTGAATATGGGCCCAGGCCACTCCATAAACTGAGACAAGCACATTGATCACCACAGGCACTTTCAAAGCATTGATAGGCAACACATGAACAAAAACAGTGCACTGGGATTATAGATTGGCAAAGCTGCATCTTCTCCTTCATAGACACACACTAATGTATAGTCAAATCAAACTTTTGTTGACATATACAGAACATGGAGATCATCTCTACAGTTATTCCCTCAATCAGGCATTTTACTCCATGCCGATACAGCATATATATTCTGTATTGAATTATGTTGCATGCACTAACATTCATATAGTATATTTTTTCACCTAAAGTAGGTGGGTGAAAATAAAAAGCTTTATACAAGTATATTCAGAGTAGGAAATACAGAGCGAAATTAAACAGATAATGTGCAGAACAAAGATACAGGTAGGTACTGTATTGCATTAGTAAAAGGTACAGTATTCACACTTTATATCCAGTAAAGGAAAAGAGTATAGTCCTCCCATAACAAAAATGACAGTTGCCAAATAGCACAATTACATTGAAAATCTAACCACAGTATTTGTCTGTTCAAAGTAAATATTCTAGACTAATAGAATTACAATAAGTATTATTCTTTTTTTTTTACATTTTAGTCAATACAATACTGAATACAAACATTTTCATTTGTACTGGTCCCCCATGGGAATTGAACCTACAACCCTGGCATTGCAAGTGCCATGTTCTACCAACTGAGCCACACAGGACACTCAGGTTATGAATAAAACTGCCAACAGGCAAATACAATTGACCATGGAAGACTGCTCACTCAAAGCCTGTTAGGATACTATAAAGGATAAGGCACAGAGTATATCTGATATTATAGGGAACTTTGGTTGGATATTGCACTCAGTGACAGAGGTGTCTATTAATAACAAAAACCTTAATGACTTGAATAATACTCTTCATACCATCTCCTAGAGGGCATAGGTGCCTCCTCCCTCTCTCCTTGTCTCCAGTTAAAACTTGAGCTCCAGCAGGTAGCGGATGCGACACTGGTTCTCCTTGTAGACCAGGTACTCACTGTTGCAGAAGTAGCTGTCCTTGTACTGGGGCTGCTTGGTGGGTTTACCCTGAGGCACAGCCACCTGCTTACTATCCAGAGTCAGGAAGATGTCCTTGGACGGGTCTGAAACAACACAACAGTGTTTACTACACAACCATACTGATGCCTTCTTCTGGATTTCGTCTGACCATCTACCAGATGTTTAGACATACAGTGACCACTTCATTAGAGTATATATGGAGACAGACTGGCCATGGCTGAGACAATAACAGTGAATGGATATTGTCACCAGGGTAAGGGAGTGAGTTGGTCTTAGACCAGGGGTGAGCTGTGAGTGGTGGTGCTGTACCTGGTTCCACCTGTCCTCTAGCCACCACGCTGTCGTAGCCCGCAGGAGCCTTCCTCAGGGAGTTGTCGTCCTTAGTGATGGTGTGCTCCTTCCCTAGCACCACCTCATTCAGAAACATCACCCTTGTGTCTTTAGACGTATGCACTACACAGGGAAAGGACACAGAGACATGGCTGTTAGGGAGGTCCTTTAAACCGCCTAGAGTCGTTGTCCACACCCCTGCGGAAATCAAATTAGCATAATAAGCTAGATATGCTTTTTTGCATGGGCTGCGTCTCAATCCACAACATCCACCGATGTCGGCCATCCGCATCTGCGGTGAAAGGTGGCAGAGCTAGAGAGGTGTTTGTCAGACCAGGAGACATCCCGAAAATCGGACTTCTCACGAAAACGTCTGTAGCGTCTCAACGGTTTGGCCGACAAAAACTATTATGAACCCTCTATGGAGAGATAAGGCTCTCTACCCCCATAAGCATCCTGGGACTCGTTTGAAGTCGATATCGCCAATCTGCCAACTTCTGTTTGTAGCGTCTGAACAGTTTGGGCTACACACTAATATGGCCCCTCTTACGACCACATACATGTCAGTTGTTTTGCTCTAGGACAACCACAGGCCTCACAAGACTTGTCTGAAGGTAGCCCGGTAAGAGTTTCAAAAATGAATGGAAGTATACATGGAAGTAGTTAAATGTGTCCGTCCCCCCCCCCGTCCCCCCCCCCACAAAAAAAGGGGTTAAATATGTATCCCAAAAAATTTATTCCTGATCTTCCTTATATCTCTCAGATATATTCAGACTCCCTGACTTTTTCCATATTTTGTTACGTTACAGCTTTATTTTAAAATAGATTAAATAGTTTTTTCCCCCCTCAATCTACACACAATACCCCATAATGACAAAGTAAAAACAGGTTTTTAGATTTTTTTGCAAATGTATAAAAAAATTAATAAACGTAAATATTACATTAACATAACTATTCAGTCCCTTTACTCAGTACTTTGTTGAAGCACCTTTGGAAGCGATTACAGCCTTGAGTCTTCTTGCGTATAACGCCACAAGCTTGGCACACCTGTATTTGGGGAGTTTCTCCCATTCTTCTCTGCAGATCCTCTCAAGCTCTGTCAGTTTGGGTGGGGAGCGTTGCTGCACAGCTATTTTCAGGTCTCTCCAGAGATGTTTGATCGGATTCAAGTCCGGGCTCTGACTGGACCACACAAGGACATTCAGGGACTTGTCCCGAAGCCACTCCTGCGTTGTCTTGGCTGTGTGCTTAGGGTCGTTGTCCTGTTGGAAGGTGAACCTTCGCCCCAGTCTGAGGTCCTGAGCAGGTTTTCATCAAGGATCTCTCTGTACTTTGCTCCGTTCTTCTTTCCCTCGATCCTGACTAGTCTCCCAGTCCCAGAGTTCAATCTAGGTTTCATCAGACCAGAGAATCTTGTTTCTCATGGTCTGAGAGTCCTTTAGGGGCCTTTTGGCAAACTCCAAGCGGGCTGTCATGTGCCTTTTATTGAGGAGTGGCTTCTGTTTGGCCACTCTACCATAAAGGCCTGATTGGTGGAGTGCTGCAGAGATGGTTGTCCTTCTGGAAGGTTCTCCCATCATCACAGAGGAACTCTGGAGCTCTGTCAGAGTGACTATCGGGTTCTTGGTCACCTCCCTGACCAAGGCCCTTCTCTCCTGATTGCTCAGTTTGGCCGGGCAGTCAGCTCTAGGAAGAGTCTTTGTGGTTCCAAACTTCATCCATTTAAGAATGATGGAGGCCACTGTGCTCTTGGGGACCTTCAATGCTGCAGAATTTTTATTGTACAATTCCCAAGATCTCCTTTGTTTTGTTGATGTTGAGTGAGAGGTTATTTTCCTGGCACTACACTCCCAGAGCCCTCACCTCCTCCCTGTAGGCGGTCTCGCCATTGTTGGTAATCAAGCCTACTACTGTTGTGTCGTCTGCAAACTTGATGATTGAGTTGGAAGTGTGCTTGGCCACGCAGTCATGTGTGAACAGGGAGTACAGGAGGGGGCTGAGCACGCACCCTTGTGGGGCCCCAGTGTTGAGGATCAGCGAAGTGGATATGTTGTTTCCTACCTTCACCAACTGGGGGCGGCCCGTCAGGAAGTCCAGGACCCAGTTGCACAGGGCGGGGTTCAGACCCAGGTCCTCAAGCTTAATGATGAGCTTGGAGGGTACTATGGTGTTGAATGCTGAGCTATGGTCAATGAACAGCATTCTTACATAGGTATTCCTCTTGTCCAGATGGGATAGGGCAGTGTGCAGTGTGATGGCGATTGCATCACCTGTGGATCTATTGGGGCGGTAAGCAAATTGAAGTGGGTCTAGGGTGACAGGTAAGGTAGAGGTGATATGATCCTTGACTAGTCTCTCAAAGCACTTCATGATGACAGAGGTGAGTGCTACAGGGTGATAGTCATTTAGTTCAGTTACCTTTGCTTTCTTGGGTACAGGAACAATGGTGGCCATCTTGAAGCATGTGGGAACAGCAGACTGGGAAAGGGAGAGATTGAATATGTCCATAAACACACCAGCCAGCTGGTCTGTCCATGCTCTGAGGACGCGGCTAGGGATGCCGTCTGGGCCGGCAGCCTTGCGGGGGTTAACATGCATAAATGTCTTAATCACGTCGGCCATGGAGAAGGAGAGGCCACAGTACTTGGTAGTGGGCCTCGTCAGTGGCACTATGTTATCTTCAAAGCGGGCAAAGAAGGTGTTTAGCTTGTTTAGCGAGATGTCGGTGTCGGCGACGTGGCTGGTTTTCTTTTTGTAGTCCGTGATTGTCTGTAGACCCTGCCACATACGTCTCGTGTCTGAGCCGTTGAATTGCGACTCCACTTTGTCTCTATACTGATTTTAATTGCCTAATCTAACTTTAATTGCCTTGCGGCGTGAGTAGCTACACTGTTTGTATTCTGCCATATTCCCAGTCACCTTGCCATGGTTGAATGCGGTGGTTCGCGCTTTTAGATTTGCGCAAATGCTGCCGTCTATCCACAGTTTCTGGATATGGTAGGTTTTAATAGTCACAGAGGGCACAACACTTCCTGATAAACTCAGTCACTGTTTCAGTGTATTCGTCAAAATTATTTTCGGAAGCTACCCGGAACATATCCCAGTCCGCGTGATCAAAACTATCTTGAAGCGTGGATTCCGATTGGTCAGACCAGCGTTGAATAGTCCTTAGCACGGGTACTTCCTGTTTGAGTTTCTGCCTATAGGAAGGGAGAAGCAAAATGGAGTCGTGGTCAGATTTGCCAAAAGGAGGGCGGGGGAGGGCCTTATAACCATCCCGGAAGTTTGAATAGCAATGGTCGAGGATTTTAGCAGCGCGAGTACAACAGTCGATATGTTGCTAGAATTTCAGCAGCCTAGTCCTCAAATTTGCTTTGTTAAAATCCCAGGCTACAATAAATGCAGCCTCAGGATATGTGGTTTCCAGTTTGCATAAAGTCCAGTGAAGTTCTTTGAGGGCCGTGGTATCGGCTTGAGGGGGATATACACAGCTGTGACTATAACCGAAGAAAATTCTCTTGGGAGATAATACGGTCGGCATTTGATTGTGAGATATTCTTGGTCGGGTGAACAGAAGGACTCGAGTTCCTGTATGTTACTACAATTACACCATGAGTCATTAATCATGAAACACACACCTCCGCCCTTCTGCTTCCCGGAGAGATATTTATTCCTGTTTGCGCGATGAACTGAGAACCCATCTGGCTGGACCGATTTCGACAGAATATCCCAAGAGAGCCATGTTTCCGTGAAACAGAGTAGTTTACAGGCCTTGATGTCTCTCTGGAAAGAAATCCTTGCCCGTAGTTCGTCGACTTTGTTAACCAAAGATTGAACATTAGCGAGTAGGATACTTGGAAGTGGTGGGTGGTATGCGCCTCCTAAGTCGAACCAGCAGGCCGCTCCGAGTGCATCTCCTCCGCCGGCGATGTTTTGGGTCAGCCGCTGGAATCAGTTCAGTTGCCCTAGGGAGAGCAAACAAAGGATCTGCTTTGGGAAAGTCGTATTCCTGGTCGTAATGCTGGTGAGTTACCGCCGCTCTGATATCCAATCGTTTTTCCCGGCTGTATGTAATGATGCAAAACACTTTCTGAGCTAATAATGTAAAAAATAATACATTAAAAAAAAATACTGCAAAGTTTCCTAGAGCTAGTCGTGAGGCCCCATCTTCATCGGCGCCAGGATCAGGCATAGGCAATACCATAAGTAAATAGTTACTAAAGAGTTAATCAGGGTAATTTTTCCACAAATAGACAGGTATTTACCTTTCCATGGTAGCAAGATCTTATCTATTTTTGCTAACTTTCAATTAAAATTGATTGGAGTGAGATCATTTCTTTCTTTCGGGATATGTATACCGAGTATATCCACATCATCATCAAACCATTTTATTGGTAAACTACATGGTAATGTAAAAGTTGTATTTTTTAGTGATTCAATACTTAATATAGTAAATGTATCAAAATTTGGCTGTAATCCAGAGAGATTAGAAATATTATCTAGATCCTCTGAGGCTGTGGAGGGATCCAAGTTGTGGAATTAAAAGAAAACATGAATCATCAGCGTACAATGACACCTTTGTTTTTAAGCCCTGGATTTCTAATCCCTTGATATTATTGTTGGATCTGATTTTAATAGCTAACATTTCGATGGCCATAATAAATAAATATGCAGATAGTGGACAACCTTGTTTTACTCCTCTTGACACTTTCTGAGAAGTAGCGATTATTTACTATTTTACACCTAGGGTAACATCATTTTAACCCATTTTATAACAGATTCTCCAAAATAGAAATGTTCCAGGCATATATACACACTACCATTCAAAACTTTGGGGTCACTTAGAAATGTCCTTGTTTTCGAAAGAAAAGCATTTTTTTTGTCCATTAAAATAACATCAAATTGATCAGAAATACAGTGTAGACATTGTTAATGTTGCAAATGGCTATTGTAGCTGGAAACGGCTGATTTTTTATGGAATATCTACATAGGTGTACAGAGGCCCATTATCAGCAACCATCAGTCCTGTGTTCCAATGGCACGTTGTGTTTGCTAATCCAAGTTTATCATTTTAAAAGGCTAATTGATAATTGGAAAACCCTTTTGCAATGATGTTAGCACAGCTGAAAACTGTTGTGCTGATTAAAGAAGCAATAAAACTGGCCTTCTTGAGACTAGTTGAGTATCTTGAGCATCAGCAATTGTGGATTCGATTACAGGCTCAAAATGGCCAGAAACAATTAACTTTCTTCTGAAACTCGTCAGTCTATTCTTGTTCTGAGAAATTAAGGCTATTCCATGCGAGAAATTGCCAAGAAACTGAAGATCTCGTACAAAGCTGTGTACTACTCCCTTCACAGAACAGCGCAAACTGGCTCTAACCAGAATAGAAAGAGGAGTGGGAGGCCCCGGTGCAGAACTGAGCAAGAGGACAAATACATTAGAGCGTCTAGTTTGAGAAACAGACGCCTCACAGGTCATCAACTGGCAGCTTCATTAAATAATACCCGCAAAACACCAGTCTCAATGTCAACAGTGAAGAGGCGACTCCGGGATGCTGACCTTCTAGGCAGAGTTGCAAAGAAAAAACCATATCTCAGACTGGCCAATAAAAAGAAAAGATTAAGATGGGCAAAAGAACAGACACTGGACAGAGGAAGATTGGAAAAAAGTGTTATGGACAGAAGAATCGAAGTTTGAGGTGTTCGGATCACACAGAAGAACATTTGTGAGACGCAGACCAAATGAAAAGATGCTGGAGGAGTGCTTGATGCCATCTGTCAAGCATGGTGGAGGCAATGTGATGGTCTGGGGGTGGTTTGGTGGTGGTAAAGTGGGAGATTTGTACAGGGTAAAAGGGATCTTGAAGAAGGAAGGCTATCACTCCATTTTGCAACGCCATGCCATACCCTGTAGACGGCGCTTGATTGGAGCCAATTTCCTCCTACAACAGGACAATGACCCAAAGCAAAGCTCCAAACTATGCAATAACTATTTAGGGAAGAAGCAGTCAGCTGGTATTCTGTCTATAATGGAGTGGCCAGCACAGTCACCAGATCTCAACCCTATTGAGCTGTTGTGGGAGCAGCTTGACCGTATTGTACGTAAGAAGTGCCTATCAAGCCAATCCAACTTGTGGGTGGTGCTTCAGGAAGCAAGGGGTGAAATATCTTCTGATTACCTGAAGAAATTGACAACTAGAATGCCAAAGGTCTGCAAGGCTGTAATTGCTGCAAATGGAGGATTCAATTATTATTTCAATTAAAAATCGTTATTTCTAACCTTGTCAATGACTACATTTCCTATTCATTTTGCTATATTTCCTATTCAAACTAATTTAATTTATGTTTTCATGGAAAAAATTAAATTTCTATGTGACCCCAAACTTTTGAACGGTAGTGTATATAAACTCCAGTTGAACTTTATCAAAAGCCTTTTCAAAGTCAGCAGGCCTGGTTCCCAGATTGTTCATAGTGTTCTATTGTTTCCAGTACTTGCCTTATATTATCTCCAATGTATCGTCCATGTAAAAAACTTGTCTGATTACAATGAATAATGTCCGACAATACCTTTTTAATTCTATGCACTACACATTTAGCTAGAATTTTTGCATCACAAAACTGAAGTGTAAGGGGCCTCCAATTTTTTAAATGGACTGGATCTTTATATTTCCCACTTGTATCCTGTTTCAGTAATAATGAAATCAGACCTTCTTGTTGCATGTCTGATAATCTACCATTTACATAGGAGTGGTTAAAACATGCTAATAACGGTCCTCTGAGTATATTAAAATAGGTTTGGTATACCTCAACTGGTATGCCATCCAGCCCTGGAGTTTTCCTGGACTTAAAGGCTTTAATTGCATCAAGAAGTTCCTCCTCTGTAATTTCGCCTTCACATTAGTATTTCTGTACAGCTGTTAATTTTACATTATAGAAAAAAATAGAAAAACAATCCATACAATTAGCTTCGGTTAGAGGAGATGGAGGAGACTGAAACGAAAACATATGCTTAAAGTACTTTTCTTCCTCTTTCAAAATATAATTTGGTGAATCATGGGTGACTCCGTCATTTGTAACCAATTTCAGTCAATTCTTTTTGGTAGCATTTCTATGTTGAAGATAAAAACATAATTTGGTGCATTTTTCCCCATATTCCATCCAGTTTGCTTTATTTTTTATAATATATTACACTTGATCTTTCTTGAATAAGTTCCTCCATTTATTTTTGTTTTTCCTCTAACTTATTCTGAGCCTCTATGGTACAGTTTTTATTGCTATCTATCTGTTCTGTTAGACCTTCTGTTTCCTTTGTTAGTATGGACTCTTTTGACCTAAATTGCTTTTATTTTAGAGATGAGTACTGAATTGCATGGCCTCTAAAGGCACATTTAAAAGTGTCCCATACAATAAGGGGATTTGCTGTCCCTATGTTATGTCGGAAGAATTCAGTTATAAATTCCTCTGTCGTAGTTAAAAACAAGTTATCATACAATAGGCTTTGATTACATTTCCAATATCCTCACCCACGTGGAAATTCAGTAAGAGTGATGTATATGCCAATTATCTGATGGTCCGACCGCATTCTGTCCCCTACCAACACTTTTTAAACTTCTGGTGCCAACGAGAATGACATAAGAAAGAAGTTTGATTGAGCCTCCGCCATGTATATCTCACTAGGTCAGGATATTTAAGCCTCCATATATCCACTAGTTCCAATATATCCATGACATTCATGATTTCCTTAAGAGCATGAGGGTGATCGTTTGTAGTGTGATTTCCTTTACGGTCCATTGAGGTATTTAAAACAGTATTATAATCTCCCACCATAATAATAGAGTCTTGTATTGCTTGCAGGGTTGAACATTTATGATATATATTTTCAAAGAAGTGTGGATCATCATTATTTGGTCCTTAAAGGTTAATGAGCCATATCTGTTTATGGTCCCATAACATATTTAAAATCAAAATTACTGTTAATTAATATCATCTCCCCTTTTGAGTTTCTTTGCCCATGGGAGAAGTATATTTCCGCCCCCAGAGTTATTTTCCCACACAACTTTATCTAAAATTGTTGAATGAGTTTCCTGTAAACAATAGATATTATATTCCTTCTCTTTGAGCCAGGTTAATATTGTTCTTCTTTTCTTATTATCTGCTAAGCCATTACAATTATAACTCGCTATACTTATTTCACGATCTACCATAATGAGATACAAGTTTCAAATCTATTTATCATAATATATGTTTCTAAATGTACCATTAAAAAGTACCATAGTGATTGAGTGTCCATATAGCTGTACCATGATATTTGCATTGCTACTAAGTAACCCTCCAATTGTTCTCCACTATTCCAACCGCTAAAGCCCCTCCCCATTCCAAGTTGGGTTTTCATTCCAGTGAACGGCAGACCACCCCCGTCCCCCCGGATCCGTAGGCCCCCCGAGAGGCCGTAACGTAACAAAATGTGGAAAAAGTAAAGGGGTCTGAATACTTTCCGAATGCACTGTAGGAGAGACACTTAAAAAACTAAAGGAAGTTTATTTTGAAGTGTCTGTCCTAGAGTGCATTCGGAAAACATTCAGACCCCTTGACTTTTTCTACATTTTGTTACGTTACGGCCTCATTCTAAAATTGATTAAATTCATTTTTTTCCTCATCAATCTACACACAAGGCATCCTGTTTCCATTGATCATCCTTGAGATGTTTCTACAACTTCATTGGAGTCCACCTGTTGTAAATTCAATTGATTGGACATGATTTGGAAAGGCACACACCTGCCTATACAAGGTCCCAAGAGCAAAAACCAAGCCATGAGGTTGAAGGAATTGTCAGTAGAGCTCCGAGACAGGATTGTGTCGAGGCACAGATCTGGGCAAGGGTACCAAAAAATGTCTGCAGCATTGAAGATCCCCAAGAACAAAAATGGCCTCCTTCATTCTTAAATGGAAGAAGTTTGGAACCACCAAGACTCTTCATAGAGCTGGCCGCCCGGCCAAACTGAGCAATCAAGTGAAAAAAGGGCCTTGGTCAGGGAGGTGACCAAGAACCCGATGGTCACTCTTGACAGAGCTCCAGAGTTCCTCTGTGGAGATGGGAGAACCTTCCAGAACGACAACCATCTCTGCAGCACTCCACCAATCAGGCCTTTATGGTAGAGTGGCCAGACTGAAGCCACTCCTCAGTAAAAGGCACGACAGCCTGCTTGGAGTTTGCCAAAAAGCCGCTCCTTCCAGCTGTTCTTCATCTTGTCTTTGAACTTCTTCTCAAAGTCTTTGATGGCTTTGTCTGGGCTGACGGAGTGGTCTGATAGGTTTGACTGTCCTGTTTCCCCCTGTAGGGGAGGAGAGAGGATTTCGTGCTTCAACCCTGGATGCTCAAGAGATGAACAGTTTAGATATACTAAAGTTGACACAGGAATGTGTAGCAAACTACCATCTTGTCTTTGTCTGAAATTAAGCTTACCACTCTCCCCCATCTGGTCCAGCAGTATTAACAGGCAACGACTCTAAGCACACAGCGAAGACAACACAGGAGTGCCTTCGGGACAAGTCTCTGAATGTCCTTGAGTGGCCCAGCCAGAGCCCAGACTTGAACCCGATCGAACATCTCTGGAGAGACCTGAAAATAAATGTGCAGTGATGCTCCTCATCCAACCTGACAGAGCTTGAGAGGATCTTCAGAGAAGAATGGAAGAAACTCCCAAATACAAGTGTGCCAAGCTTGTAGCGTCATACCCAAGAAGACGTGAGGCTGTAATCGCTGCAAAAGGTGCTTCAACATAGTACTGAGTAAAGGGTCTGAATACTTAGGTAAATGTGATATTTCCGTTTTTTAAATTCCCCATTTGCTTTGTCATTTTGGGGTATAGAGGAAAATGTAAAAAAAAAAAAAATCCATTTTAGAATAAGGCTGTAACATAACAAAATGTGGAAAAAGTCAAGGGGTCGGAATACTTTCCGAATGCACTGTAATGCTGGGGTAGAACCTCACCGTATTTAGCAGACTTGCTGATCTCCGAGGCAAAGTAGATGCCCCTGCCTACACGGCCCCCTGACTTTGGCATGAAGTGACTATGCAGGCCACCCTTCAAGATGGCCGCAACCACCGCCACATTGGTGCCGTGCCACAGCAGACGTCGGTTCTCCAGGCTGTCATTCTCCCTGAACCGCTCCGCCTGCCGAAAACAATACCCACACACAGATATGTAGATAGGAGTACAGAATCCTTGACCTAACGCACAAACATAGTCACTTTAATAGAGGGACCCGTGTACTTTTTAGCCAAAAAAAGAAGAGATTCTCAACTTCATTACAACAATCAAGCTCACACCAAATAAGTAATGAATCAATACAAATTCACGCTGTATTACATGCTAACATTATTATGATGAAGTAGTTGTGTCATGTGTTACCCACCTCAGTCTCGCTCTCTACCTCCCAGACATCTATAATCTTTGGCTGGCTGTGGCTATGTGCAGTGGCCTTCAGGTATTTCTCAATTACCTTTAAATTAGACAAGAATGGAAATACAATGGAAGCTCAATAGTTACTTTAGACCACAGAGAATAATATTGTATATCGTCTTGTCTCAGTAAATAGAGTCACCAATATTGCAATGCCACAATGAGTATATCAGTATCACTAAAGTTTTGTATGACTATGATTTTTACATCTACAACAATACAGCCGTGTTTGTATAAAATGTAACTTCCATTAGAGGCGACTGTACCTTGAATTCCTGTGTTTCTCTATCTAGTAGACAGAGTTTGCAGTTGAGAGACAGATAGTTCTGGTCCAGTGAATGAGGTACTTTCTCCACCTCCATCAGCTCCTGGGTCTTCTCAGTCTCAGCCTTCAGGTTCTGGGCTATCTCTATATCAGCCAGCACCTGCAGGGAGCAGCAGGAGGAAGGAGAGATGGGATCAGGCCTGGACAAGACTACTCATCATGGTTACGGCCAGGAGTTGTACCTTTTACCAAAACTCTGGGTCCTTCTTGTAGGCTATAAAAAAAAAACTATTGGCCCTAAATAGTACTGACCAATATCAATGTCATTCCACAAAGCACAATACTGTGTCAGATCTAATTAAGTACAAGTTGATCAAGTAGATCTCACCAGAAGCAACTCCTTCTTCTTCTCTATGATCTCAGAGCTGTCGATGACCGGGGGCCTGGTGCGTCCAAAGTTGTGTGGAATGGTGGTGAAGAACTTGGAGGAGTGCTCCTCCAGTTTGGTCATGCTGGTCCGGCTGGCGTTCATGGCTCCCTCAATCTCCTCCAGCACTTCAAAGCCCTTGGCGATCTGCAGCGTGCTCAGCTTCCCCAGGGGAATCTTCTTTATGTCTGGTGGTCCATAGAGAGAGAGCGCGACAACCAGGGAGGAGATGATGATTATACACATATTACCGCTCTGTCTGAGTTCATATGTTAGACACCTGCACAGTTTACATAGCTTTATGTTGACTGCTCTCCTCTACGTTGGTCAAGGTGGTTGTTGGGGAACTCGCAACACAGCTGAATAAGCTTCAGCCCAAAACAATAAATTGTACAGTCAGGCGCCATTTACATTATTGATCAGACAGACTGGGTTTTATATGGATTAGACATTTATCTCCAGATCGCCAGGCTTTACCCTCTATTTAAATGACTCTAGTTAATGATTTAGGATACCTCTTTGATCACAGAGACTTCAGTTTAACAGCCAAGTACTGTGTATAATTCCACTGAGAGTAGAATACAATACAACAAGCAGTCCAGTCAAACAGGTATGTTACATAACAGAACATGTGCAGGGATGTAGTTAGTAGAGCATGGCGTTTGCAACGCCAGGGTTGTGGGTTCGATTCCCACGGGGGGCCAGTATGAAAAAAAGAGAAAAAAAAAAAGAAAAATAATAATAATTACAAAATAAAAGTATGCACTCACTAACTGTAAGTCGCTCTGGATAAGAGTGTCTGCTAAATGACTAAAAATGTAAAAAAAAATGTACATAGACAGACCCCACCCATGCTTAATGACTGAGGAACAGAGGATTGATTCAGTGCTGTAGCGGTAAAGGTGGTGGGCTGGACTGAGATTGACACCCACCTAGGTCCATGCACTCCATGGCCTCTTTGAACATGTCGTTGCTAAAGATGAGATGGATGAGCTTCTGTGTGGGGTTATTCAGGGTGCAAGGCAGGATGTTTTTGGGCCCCTTGACAATCTTCCCATCAACATTGTCCACCTGCAAAAGCCAGACGAGAGCATGTTATAGAGAGATAACAAATTGACACAGCAAAGCAATAATGAGTGAGAGTCAGTGTAAAGTTGCAGTCTGACCACCTATCTATCAGAGTCCCTAGCAGTCCTGAGATCCAGCACACCACCGTTACCTTGACCTCTTTATCCTGGTCTCCATCCACCTCTATAAGGGTGTACTTCCACGGGTGAGACACAAAGTTGTCCCGCTCCTTCCAGCTGTTCTTCGTCTTGTCTTTGAACTTCTTCTCAAAGTCTTTGATGGCTTTGTCTGGGCTGACGGAGTGGTCTGATAGGTTTGACTGTCCTGTTTCCCCCTGTAGGGGAGGAGAAAGGATTTAGTGCTTCAATCCTGGATGCTCAAGAGATGAATAGTTTAGATTTACTAAAGTTGACACAGGAATGTGTAGCAAACTACCATCTTGTCTTTGTCTGTAATTAAGCTTACCACTCTCCCCCATCTGGTCCAGCAGTAGTAACAGGCAGCTATATCCAACACTTGAATGACATAAAACTTGTTGTTGTTATTTCCAATATTGGTCTGATTCAGCATGCAGTCATAATCTTCATACACCTGTGGGTGGGGAACATGATTTAGGTCATGTTTCCACATTACATTTGAGTAATTTAGCAGGCACTCTTATCAAGAGCAACTCACAGGAGCAATTAGGGTTAAGTGCCTTACTCAAGGGCACATCAACAGATTTTTCACCTCCGCAGCTCAGGGATGTGAACCAGCGACCTTTTGATTACTGGCCCAATGCTCTTAACCGCTAGGCTACCTGCCGACCCATTGAACATTTGCACTGCACAGTCTATCCTACTGATGTGACTCCAAGGCTGATCAAACAAATCATTAAGTCAAATACCTATAGCTAGTGACAGTTTATCAGATTCTGCAACATATAATTGAGTAACACACACAGCATCACATTGGTCTTTTGAAACCGCTATAACTGTATGCAGCATGTACAGTACAGTAGATATGTGACCTCACACACTCATTACAACAGAGCAAAATGTTGTATTTTGTATTTACTAGGGATCCCCATTAGCTGTTGCCAAGGCAGCAGCTACTATTCCTGGGGTCTAAACACATAAGGCACTTACATCACACATAAAGCAAAATATAAAACAGTAAATCATATAACATTATTACACCACTACATATCTACAATACAAAATGTATAATACCACCTTACAACAATATTACAATGTATGTACACTACCAGTCAAAAGTTTGGACACACCTACTCATTCAAGGGTTTTTCTTTATTTTTACTATTTTCTACATTGTAGAATAATAGTGAAGACCTCAACACTATGAAATAACACACATGGAATCATAAAGTAACCACAGAAGTGTTAAACAAATCAAAATATATGTTATATTTGAGATTCTTCAAATAGCCACCCTTTGCCTTGATGACAGCTTTGCACACTCTTGGCATTCTCTCAACCAGCTTCATGAGGTAGTCACCTGGAATGCATTTCAATTAACAGGTGTGCCTTCTTAAAAGTTAATTTGTGGATTTTCATTCCTTCTTAATGCGTTTGAGCCAATTAGCTGTGTTGTGAAAAGGTAGGGGTGGTATATAGAGGATAGCCCCATTTGGTAAAAGACCAAGTCCATATTATGGCAAGAACAGCTCAAATAAGCAAAGAGAAACGACAGTCCATCATTACTTTAAGACATGAAGGTCAGTCGCAATAACCATCAAGCACTATGATGAAACTGGCTCTCATGAGGACCGCCACAGGAATGGAAGACCCAGAGTTATCTCTGCTGCAGAGGATAAGTTCATTAGAGTTACCAGCCTCAGAAATTGCAGCCCAAATAAATGCTTCACAGAGTTCAAGTAACAGACACATCTCAACATCAACTGTTCAGAGTGGACTGTGTGAATCAGGCCTTCATAGTCGAATTGCTGCAAAGAAACCACTACTAAAGGACACCAATAAGAAGCAGATACCTGCTTGGGCCAAGAAACATGAGCAATGGACATTAGACCGTTGGAAATTTTTGAGAAGAAGAAGGAGTTTGAGATTTTTGGTTCCAACCACTGTGCCTTTGTGAGACGCAGTGTGGGTGAATGGATGATCTCTGCATGTGTAGTTCCCACCGTAAAGCATGGAGGAGGAGGTGTTATGGTGTGGGGGTGCTTTGCTGGTGACACTGTCTGTGATTTATTTAGAATTCAAGGCACACTAACCAGCATGGCTACCACAGCATTCTGCAACGATACGCCATCCCATCTGGTTTGGGCTTAGTGGGACTATCATTTGTTTTTCAACAGAACAATGGCCCAACACACCTCCAGGCTGTGTAAGGGATATTTTACCAAGAAGGAGAGTGATGGAGTGGTGCATCAGATGACCTGGCCTCCACAATCCCCCGACCTTAACCCAATTGAGATGGTTTGGGATGAGTCGGACGGCAGAGTGAAGGAAAGCAGCCAACAAGTGCTCAGCATATGTGGGAACTCCTTCAAGACTGTTGGAAAAGCATTCCAGGTGAAGCTGGTTGAGCAAATGCCAAGAGTGTGCAAAGCTGTCAACAAGGTAAAGGATGGCTATTTGAAGAATCTCAAATATAAACTATATTTTGATTTGTTTAACACTTCTTTGGCTACTACATGATTCCATATGTGTTACTTCATAGTTTTGATGTCTTCACTATTATTCTACAATGTAGAAAATAGTAAAAATAAAGAACAACCCTTGAATTAGTAGGTATGTCCAAACTTTTGACTGGTACCGTATGTGTAGAGTGAGTGTGCTAGCGTGTGTACGCATGTGTCTGTACCTGTGTGTGTGTCTCTTCACAGTACCTGCTGTTCCATAAGGTGTTTAAAAATATATATATATACATATCTGATTCTACTGCTTGCATCAGTTACCTGATGTGGAATAGAGTTCCATGTAGTCATTACTCTATGTAATACTGTGCACCTCCCATAGTCTGTTCTGGACTTGGGGATTGTGAAGAGACCTCTGGTGGCATGTCTTGTGGGGTATGCATGGGTGTCCGAGCTATATTCCAGTAGTTTAAACAGACCGCTCGGTGCATTCAGCTTGTCAACACATGATATTGACATGCATTTTTTAATGTTAGCTCTCCGTGTACATTTAAGGGCCAGCTGTGCTGCCCTGTTCTGAGCAAATTGTAATTGGGCAGTCCCTCTTTGTAGCTCCTGACCACATGACTGAACAGTAGTCCATGTGCGACAAAACTAAGGCCTGTAGGACCTGCCTTGTTGATAGTGTTGTTAAGAAGGAAGAGTAGAGCTTTATTATGGACAGACTTCTCCCAATTTTAGCTACTGTTGTATCAACATGTTTTGACCATGACAGTTTACAATCCAGGGTTACTCCAAGCTGTTTAGTCACCTCAACTTGCTCAATTTCCACATTATTCATTACAAGATTTAGATTAGGTTTACGGTTTAGTGAATGATTTGTTTCAAATACAATGCTTTTAGTTTCTGAAATATTTAGGACTAACTTATTCCTTGCCACCCATTCTGAAACTCTTTGTTAAGTGTTGCAGTCATTTCAGTCGCTGTAGTAGCTGACGTATATAGTGTTGAGTCATCTGCAGACATAGACACACTGGCTTTACTCAAAGCCAGTGGCATGTCATTAGTAAAGATTGAAACAGGTAAGGGGCCTAGACAGCTGCCCTGGGGAATTCCTGATTCTACTTGGATTATGTTGGAGAGGATTCCATTAAAGAACACACTCTGTGTTCTGTTAGACAGGTAACTCTTTCTTCACAATATAGCAGGGGGTGTAAAGCCATAACACATACGTTTTTCCAGCAGCAGACTATGATCGATAATGTCAAAAGCCGCACTGAAGTCTAACAAAACAGCCCCCACAATCTTTATATAATCAATTTCTCTCAGCCAATCATCAGTCATTTGTGTAAGTGCTGTGCTTGTTAAATGTCCTTCCCCATAAGTGTGCTGAAAGTCTGTTGTCAATTTGTTTACTGTAAAATAGCATTGTATCTGGTCAAACACCATTTTTTCCTAAAGTTTACTAAGGGTTGGTAACAGGCTGATTGGTCGGCTATTTCAGCCAGTAAATAGGGCTTAATATTCTTGGGTAGCAGAATGACTTTAGCTTCCCTCCAGGCCTGAGGGCACACACTTTCTAGTAGGCTTAGATTGAAGATATGGCAAAAAGGAGAGGCAATATCGTCCGCTACTATCCTCAGTAATTTTCCATCCAAGTTGTCAGACCCCGGTGGCTTGTCATTGTTGATAGACAACTATCATTTTTTCACCTCTTCCACACTCAATTTACAGAATTCAAAATTACAATGCTGGTCTTTCATAATTTGGTCAGTTATACTTGGATGTGTAGTGTTGGCGTTTGTTGCTGGCATGTCATGCCTAAGTTTGCAAATCTTGCCAATGAAAAAATCATTAAAGTAGTTGGCAATATCACTGGGTTTTGTGATGAATGAGCCATCTGATTCAATGAATGATGGAGCCGAGTTTGCCGTTTTGCCCAAAATGTCCTTTAAGGTGCTCCAAAGCTTTCTATTATCATTCTTTATATAATTTCTCTTTTTTTAAGAGTATAGTTTCTTATTTTTATTCAGTTTAGTCACATGATTTTTCAATTTGCAGTACGTTTGCCAATCGGTTGTGCAGCCAGACTTATTTGCCATTCCTTTTGCCTCAACCCTCTCAACCATACACATTTTTCAATTCCTCATCAATCCAAGGGGATTTAACAGTTTTTACAGTAATTTTCTTAATGGGTGCATGCTTATTAATAACTGGAATAAGCAATTTCATAAATGTGTCAAGTGCAGCGTCTGGTTGCTCCTCATTACACACCACAGACCAGCAAATATTATTTACATCATCAGCATAGGAATCACTACAAAACTTATTGTATGACCTCATGCACTATATTAGGCCCAGCCTTTGGAACTTTGGTTTTACTAGATATGGCTACTATATTGTGATCACTACATCCGATGGAATTGGATAATCCTTTAAAGCAAATTTCTGCAGCATTAGTAAAGATGTGATCAATACATGTTGATGATTTCATTCCTGTGCTGTTTGTAACTACCCTGGTAGGATAACTGATAACCTGAACCAGGTTGCACGCACTGGTTACAGTTTGAAGTCTTGAGTGGGCAGCTTGATGAAAACCAGTCAATATTGAAATCACCCAGAAAATATACCACTCTGTTGATATCACATACATTATCAAGCATTTCACACATATTATCCTGATACTGACTGTTAGCACTTGGTGGTGGATAGCAGCTTCCCACAAGAATAGGCTTTAG